CTCGTTGCCGTTTGGCAAGTATATGCTCCGTGATGCGGTGCACTTGATGAGTGCATGAATGCTTGGCGCGGAAACCAAACTGTTCGGGGAAAAAAAACTGTTCGGGGGAAATACTCTACAAGATAGCGTCACTATTTATACCCTTCTATGAACACTGTCGTACTTAAAGTGGTATAAATGCCGAGAAAATGGTCCTTCTATGCCTTAGGGATGCTAGTTATTATTGGCGGTAATTAATACCGCAGGTTGAGTGTTGGTTGTACTAATAACGATTGTTAACAGATCCTAAAATGGTTGTTGGGTTGAAGATTGAAACTTAACCCTTGGATTGCTAACGATTTACGCTGCATTTCTGAAGTGTCCATTTATTTTATCATTATCTAGTGATTTATTATTGTTTGGTTGCAACGGAGTGAAATTAAAGTAACGTAGTTTAGAACATCATTTTATATATCGAACCATAAACACTATCGAATGGTTTAAAATAGTTCGGAAACCGCCCATTAGGCATGTTTACCGATTCACGTATTTGGCTTGATGGTAGAAGTAACTCACCGTCATAGCATGTGATGACATGCAGCCGTCGCCGTGCCCGTGGTCATGGTCATGATCGTGATGATGCATACTGACGTCTGACACTTTCATCTCCATCGCGTTCATTGTGGCTACAACAAAAAAATAATAATTTAATTATAACTAGTTGTTACCCGTGACTTCGTCCACGCAATATTAAGATAAAATAAGTAGCCTATAATATTCCCGTCTATGTCAGCTACCCTTCAGTGAAAGTCTGGTCGAAATCGGCCCGTTTCGGAGATTAACAAACGCGGCTTGCAGACAGACAGACAGACAGACAGATAAAAAAAATTTAAATGCGTTTTTTTTTAATTTCTTAAATCCGTTATCAGCAAGGCAAATACATCATCTTCCCGAAATCTGGAATTTTTCTTTTGATATTGCAAACAGACACTCCAAATTTATTATATGTATAGATGATGTTCAAATATTCCTTCACCATTAGAAAAGTAATTTATCTGTGAGTAACATAGGCTAAGGATATCAAGGCTAAGGGCAGGCAAGTTCTCAGATTGATAACAGCAATAGGGTCGCTTAACACGGACGACTGTAGACGATCAGTGTGCCATACACGGACCGTAATATAGTCATTAATGATGGTAAAAAAACTAGAGAGTATACCACAAAATATGATCAAAGAAACACATATGCTTATGTCAGCCTAATTATTACATCACAATTCTACCAAGCAATTCTAAACCTTATGCCTTTTCAAAACATTTTAAAATTCGATATCAAGAATTTCGTAAACCAATTTCAAATAACATATGTGATTATATACCTTAACACAAGAAGAATAAGGTGTACATTAGTTTTAATAGAGAGGCGACGACAGTTGTGCAAGAGTGGCTTTCTCTGCGCGCGCAGGGCGACCTATTGCGTCAGTCAGTCATCTGACGGTGCAATTACACCATGCCAGTACTTCCGCAATAAACTTCCAGTTATTACCAATACAGTTAGCTACTTCCAATAATTTTTGTCTTAGATCACGTATGCATAAAAAAAAAGAAAAAAAGAAAGGTTCAAACGAACGTTCAAAGTATTAAAATGAAATTCGGTCTAAGTTTCGACTTTTACGATTCACAAATTATAGGCAAATTAGGGGCAAAAAAGAAATAGGTAAATTAGGGCAAAGAATAAAACAGACAAATTAAATTAAGGGCAAAGAATAAGATAAAGATGAAGAAGCAGTGCTTATTTTAGGTACAAAGCGACAAACGATATTACAATCTATAACACATGTTCTCGTTACGCAAAATACTAACGACCCATAAACAATCACTTTCGATTTCCTTATCAGCCATAACGCGTTTACCTTTGTTTTACGAACGACTGACCCATTGAAGTGCGTATGCAATTGTAATGTACGCTAGTACCAATATATTTACATGTATTTACCGCATTGAAGCTCTGAAATATAAATCATTTTTTATAATCGTATAATTTATGGTCGATTGTATTTTATTCCAACAAAGCCATTTTACGACATTTGTTAAACAAAATTATTATTGTCTATACTTGACGCATTGCCTAATGCCGGGAGTTGGTAGATTTGTTTATGGTCGTTGTTGCATTTTCCTTGTCGCAATATTTACGCTCCGAGTGACAATCTTTTATATAAATTTTTTATCTGTTCCGATTTCGCTTTCCGATCATTGAAGGCCGTTTTAAAGATGATAAAATCGTTATTTATAGAAATGAGGTAAATGAGAAGGTAATTATTTGGATTAACGACTATAGTAAGCAGTAATATTATTGTATTATCTGTGGTAAGAAACAAATATAAAAATGTTCACATGAAATCACAAGAAATTCTATAATTCTTTAACTAACTTGACAATACGTAATAAAAAAATGTATTTTATCCATCACTAAAGATTCAATTTATTCGCATAAGTTTTAAACTTAACAAAAATATGACCCGACTATTTAAATAATGGTGGTTATAGAATTTAAAATGCGAATTTTAGTACCGCGCCTACGCAAGTTGCTAAGACTTAAGACTATGACAAATAGACAGGCTGTTAGACGTGGTATTTAGTGCTTATTTGTTTTTCGCCATTGTAACAATGACGGTATCGGTAGATATGTGAGTAAACTAATAATAAAGACAGAATTAAGTATTACTAACGTTAACAAGTTTAATTAAACGAAGCAAAAGCTGTAATTTCCATTGTCCATTTATAGAGATCAGTGATGAATAATTTTACTCTATGGCCACCGTCAACTCGTAAGGATCTAAAGATAACAACTATACTTAAATAACTAAATAATATAACAAGGAATTCGCTATCGTGTAGATTCAAGGTTTATTATAACTAGCTGTTCCCATGCGACTTCATCCGCATAAAATTATAAAAATTTCAATTTATTGTTTACATTTGTCAAATTATCAATTACAAATGTCAAAATGACATTACATGATGACAACCTTGCTTCCTTGATGTTGGCAGCAACTTTGGTCTCTTTTACATTAGGGTTTTTATCTAAATTATTTACCCCCTAAGTTTTATTAAACTTAGGCTTAGGCTATTGCCTAAAGCGTGACGTAAGTGTAGGGCTTTTTATTAAATAAAGAATTATTCAAAAATACCTTGTATTTGCTGACATCTTATGCAACAAAGAAGTGTATGTTTACGTTTTATTATAATAGTATAGAGTATAGATATAGATATATAAGTATACATATATAGATTTATAGACGTATAGACTTACACTGGTTTCCAATCACAATAAATGTGCATATGTATCACATTTTGTTCCTAACGAGAGATACATAACACGTGTACCACTGGTATTCAACTAGTGGTCTCTGATATGTTTTACGAGGTCAAAATGTCGGAATTATATGCAACTAATGAAAACGATTATTCTCTTATTGACCGACTTCCCAAAAGAAGGACTCAATTCGTCTGTATGTTTATTTTTTTTATGTGTGTTACGGCATAACTCCGCCGCTAGTGGACCGATTTTGATAATTCTTTTTTATCCAAAAGGTAGTGCTTGCAGGTGGGTCCCATTTTTTCGTTTGATTTTTGGAGTCAAAGACTACGACGTAGTTAAATAGTTTTGTTCATTGTCGTCATCTAGGGTCGTTAATTATATATGAAAGATTTTTGATTAGAATAGTTTTTACTTGAACAAAGTCATATAATTCCTAAATACTGATCTAATGCGTCCTTGAGTTCATTATATACATATTTAGCTAATTATAATGCTGCTAAAGCATGCTTAAAAACAATAGCAAGTATTTTATTTCTAATTACGAGATGGTATGTTAACAACCGAAGTGGATAACCTTGTACGTTCACTGTCATTCAAGATGAGTTAAATATTAAAATTTATATTATTTTTCTTGCTTACAAAAGTGAAGTTAGTCACGAAATAGCAATTGCTACTTAGAATGCACAAGAAATTTTAATAAATACATGTCATTTATATGTATTTCTTTATACAAACAAACTACTAAAATAATCAGTATTGTTTTGAAGTAACACGCGTTTTAATTGTTAATTTATAAAGCAGGTACAACACCTTTTGTTTTAATTACACCGTTCAGTTCTTTAAATTGTGGTGGTAAAGGTGTGTAGCTGGCTTCACCATCCCCACCGAGGGGCTCGGAGCGTACCCTAAATTAGGGTGATTAGGCTAAAGTCAACCACGCTGGCCCAGTGCGGGTTGGTTGACTTCACACATATCTTTGAATTTCTTCGCCGATATGTGCAAGTTGCATCACGATGTTTTCCTTCACCGTAAAAACGTCGGGTAAATTATGTACATATGAAAATTCGATAAAATGGAAAATCACATTGGTACACGGCGGGATTCGAACCCAAGACCTGTAGATTACAAGTCAAGTACTTAAACCACTGAGCTACCGACGATCTGTGTAGCTAGCTTAATGATATTATAATGTTATAATCATAAAAACATTGAGGAAACAGCAACGTAATTATAAAATCGCTTAATATAATTCTCTCCCCCTAGTGTACTTTGATTTTCCTGCCTTATTCTGTACAACTAAAACATCCTCGTGTGAACAATTGTTTTTATTACAATGGATAAAAAAACAAATGAACCTGCATTACTAATTAATTATTACTCCGCACTTCGATATCCCCTACTTATGTAGGGTAAATATTCTATTAAAATTTATGAGACACTCTCGAAAAAAAACAGTCCATTATGAATTTACATTTCTACACCTTATTTCAATACTAGCTTTCGCCCGCGTCTGCGTGATATCTATACTATTATAATAAAGCGTAAACACACACATCTTTGTTGCCTAAGATCTCGGCAATTACAGCATATTTTTGAATAATGCTTTTTTTAATAAAAAGCCCTACACTTACGTCTTTTTTTTCTTTTTTAGGCTATATGTTTTTACACCATTAAACTTAGGGGGTAAATATTTTGGATAAAAACCTTCATGTGGGAAAGAGACCATAAGTTGGTGCCAATATCAAGGAAGCAAGGTTGTCATCATGTCATGTCATTTTGACATTTGCAATTGATAATTTGACAAATATAAACAATAAAATAAAATTATCATAATTACATACGGATGAAGCCGCACGGGAACAGCTAGTTAAAAAAAAAATTTAAAAGTAAGTAGCCTATGTGTTCTTCCAGGCTACTACAAATATCCAACCATCCATCTTAACTTTCGCATTTATAACATTAGTATGATTGATTAATTAATTAATCTGAATAGTAAGATATAGTCTATTTTTAGTTAATCCCATAAGTAATCTTTCTTATTTTTGACTGACTTCCCAAAAGAAGGAGGTACTCAAGTCGTCTGTATGTTTTTTTTATGTGTGTTACGGCATAACTCCGCCGCTAGTGGACCAATTTTTAACTATTCCACTGCTCTTTTCCTTATGGCCAGCATTATTGTAAAGACTGTTAAATACGTTCAATTTTAACTTAACAGTTAAAATTAAAGGTGTGTAGCGAGCTTAACAGTGTTAAGGGTCCATCCCTTTCTGCTATATGCAGTTTGTTAATGAGCAAGGGTTTTAGTTTATGCATGATATTGGTGGTTATTATATTTATGCGAATAGTCCCTAAGATAAACAATGTA